GCTACACACTGCGTGGGAAGCACTGTCCCCGGGTGGGACAGGCAGGGTCACGTTTGAGGACTCCCAAGTTCAGCGCCTGTGGCAGGCTGACCCCTTCCATCCTCCCAGTTCACAGAATAGGAGGCCGAGGTGCTGCGGGTTCACAACTTGTGAGTGGAGAGGACTCAAGATTGATAAGGAAGCCCACGTCAACCACAAGGCTGAGCCTGGCCCAGAGCCGGGATCCCTCATCCTCTGGGTTCACTCTCTGAAACAAGACCTTAAGGCACACGGCAGCTGCGCTCACAATGCTCTGCTTATTCTCTGGCCTGCATTTTGCTGTTCCCAGTCCTGTCAGAATAAACTGGGGAGGAGTCCACCCCACGCATGCCCCTCTCACCTGAGCGGTAGCTGCTCCTCAGACAGAAGAGCCGGAAGATGTCGGGCGAAAAGGTCTTCAGAAAGTCCTGGTAAAGCGACAGACAGGCAGTCACGAGGCTTTGCTTTCACACTTCGCACCGCTCTGAGAATGTTATTTACGACAATTACATGAGTTACCTCTACCTATCAAGAAATCGGGAATCTTGATGAAATGAGTCCTCCAAACTCTCATAGTTACCGCCTGTTTCCTGGTGATTCCTCACTGAACTTTGCATGCTCGATCTTTTTTGTGGAAAGAGCAAGAGGAGAAAGCCACTGTTCCCTGAAATTCCCCACCTGCACAGGCTCCGGAGAGGTGCGTCCTGTGCTCAGCCTGGGCAGTCTTTCTACATGACAGGGACGAGGACAGACAGCATGGAGCGATGCTGTGCGCAGGAAGGGACCAGGCAGGCAGCAGGAGGCCCACCAGCTCCTGGCTGCCTGCTCCGGGAGAAGCTTGCGGTTAAGGTCAGACCCAGATGACCTGCAGCTGGGCCCAGCTGAGGAGTGATGGCCTCACCCACCCTATTTGGTGGCACAGTTCTCGTAAACACTGGGTGTAAAGCATGCACTAAGTCTATCTCTTGAAGAATAAACCACCCTGCATCTGATTACATGTGTAAAACTAAGAACCCAACCAGTATCCTCCTATAATTTAGAAAATGTCTGTACAGAAAGAGGTGGTCTGCCTTCCAACCAGGTCAGAGCTCAGCCCCAATGCCACAGCCCAACCCCATCTGCCTTGGCCTGAGGCAGTGAGGGGCATTCTCATGCGGGGTGGTGTTAATTAGAAAGCCGCTGGGCAGATCACCTAACAGAGGGGTGCTCAACCTGGGGTCCACAGAGAAAAGGTGGGAGGGCGGGGGAGGTCTGTGAACTGGGATGGTTAAACAGCCTCTTTATTTCCACCAGCCTCGCACTGAAATGGACATTTCCTTCAATGGTCAGTGCAGGTGCAAACACATCAGGAGGCACAGAGCCTGGCATGGTCACCACAGGTGTCCCCGCAAGTATGACACAAATCACACGTGGGGACGGCAGCCGTCAGACCACAGCCACGCTGAGCTACCACTGAGTCACGCAGCATACGTGCTCCTCCACTTCGGCACCAGCGAAGGCCTCTGAGATCCCACGTGTTTCATTTTATGTATTTAAAGCAAATTATAAGGCTGGGCCCGCAGACCTGATCAGGCAGCCACAGGGGCCCAGGGTAGGGAGGGGCCTGGGGCGTGTGTGTATGTATGTGTGTATGTGTGCACGTGTGTGTGAAAGACCCTGTCCAATCCAACAGTAATTCATCAGTAATCACGCCGGAATTCAATTTCCTTCTGTCCGTCTCCTGGGTGCTCCTTCCCAAACTGTGAAAAAGTATCACTCCTTGTCCTTTAATTCGCAGCTCCCAGGCTCACTTGAGACTGTCCCTCACCCAAGGTGTCGCGGTTCCAATTAACACAAGTGGCCACGTCCTGCTGGTTTCAGTTCAGGTTGCACCCTATTTAGGTCTCCGTGTTCAGTGCGGAAACACCACTCGACACGCAGGCTCCATGCTCTCTACTTCACTGTGGAAAGGATTTTGTCTGGCTTTCTTTTAAAGGCAGGTTCCTCATTCAGAGTTTAAACGCGTGCAGAATTAGCCTCAGTGTGTTTTCATAAATCTAACCGTTCTCTGAAACCCCAACAACATTAAAGGCTTATCTTCCCCACTCTAGGGTGGGGGGGCTCCTGTCGTGAGCTATAGTAGTTCTAATAGAAATCCAGAATCTAATCTTTCTAGAACATTCAGTTTCTATGGACTTTGTCCTAATAATACAGGAAGGGGACACATAACTTCATTACACAGTATTCTGACGATGATATGAAACGCTTGAATACTGTGGGTGCTCAGGAAATTAATTTTTTAGTGTGTTCCTGCTCACTGCTGGCTCATGTCAGCAAGTTTCTGTCCTACTCTGGTTCCACCGTGCAACCTGCCACGGCCACCTGAGAGGCGAAACGTGACGACGGTGGTGTAAGCGTGTGCTGTTTGACTCTCTGAGAGGTAAGCGATCTCCCGAGCCCAGGCCAGAGGACTGGATCGGCCTTCAGGTGGGGACAATAACAAGCCATGTGAACCCCAGTGAGCTCACGAGGTCACAGGATGCACATTCACAGGCAGCCCGCTGGGTATGCACACCAGCTGTCGGGGCACTTCCTATGATGCCAGTGCTGCATGCACCCCCGGAGCCCCAGGGCAGGGCGGGCGACAGAGCCTCTCTACTGGGCCAGGCCGTCGCTTGCTTTGAGGGGTAAAATAACTAGAAAGCAGGTTTTAAACCATTATGAGCTCCAGGGGTTGAGCTTTCTACACGGACTGTGGCCTCCGTCATGAAGAAAGCATTGAGTTTTCAGCCAGGCTATTAGATGTCCATCAGTAGCCTCTAAGACACAGGACTGGCAGGAAAAGGCTGTTATGCCAGAAAGCAGGAATGTGCCAAGTATTTTTAAGATGTAGGGCAATAATTAAACATCCTCACGGAACTATGAAAAATATAAAAGAAAAATCACCAGTAAACACAGAGAGACAAATCAACACAGCGAATAGACAAAGACATGGAAATTTAAAATCCAGTTGTCATGCTTCACAATTCAACAAGAAAAATGGGCCACACTTCATGGGTTACTTTGTAAGGCTGAGGCAGGAGGATCACTTGAGCCCAAGAGTTTGAGACCAGCCTGGGCAACATAGTGAGACTCCGTCTTTACAAAAAATACAAAATTAGCAGGTGTGGTGGTGCACGCCTGCGGTCCCAGCTCCTCGGGGGGCTGAAGTGGAAGGTCTGCCAGAGCGCATAAGCTCCAGGCTGCAGTGAGCTGAGACTGCACCAGGTGCCACTGCGTTCCTGCCTGGGTGACAGCAAGACCCTCTCTCAAAAAAAAAAAAAAAGGGAAAAAGGCAACCTGATTACAATTCTAATTTGATGTTGGAGAGACCTGGGAAAGAGACATTTTCATCTACTGCCAGCGGGAACTTACTGATTAAAAAAAAAAAAACGGGCTGTATCCAAAACATTTTGAATGTGCCTGTATCCTCTGATGTGCGATTTCACCGCAAGGCACTTTTCCCAAGTCACTCATCATTAGACGTGCAGATATTTAGCAGAAGGATATCCATCACAGCACTGTCGCCCAGAGTACAGGTCTCACAAACAAGCCCGACACCAGGAAATAAAATCACGGCACATCAGTGCACGAGCCACTAAGCGGCCGCTGAGAATGCAGACACGGCAATGTCCGTGCACATACCCTAGTGGAAAATGCGGCAAGATGGAAATGACCACCAATAGGGGATTCTTTAAATTAGCTAAGCTGCACCCACACACTGGACTAACTTGGCTGTCTGAAAGAACAAACGAACTCCATCTGGTAGAAAACCAACTAAGGCCAAGAGATTCATCAGCAAAGTACAGCAAGTGCACCACTATGTGAAGTGAAAATGAGCAGCGCAGCTACAGGGAGACGTGTAAACACACACCTGCTCGAAAAAACGAACTGCCGCTTCAGGAGGAGCCGGCCAATGGGGAAGGTGGCCAGGCAGGAGGCCTGCTTTCCGTACTCAGTACCTTTGGATTTTTCTGCCACGTGCTGCTTTGTCTTGTCTGCAGTTTTCAAACTTTCTGCAGTTAAACCCACCACGTTTATAATCAAATTAAAACCTCACTTAAATTGTTAGGGAAAAGGCAGCACACACGACACTGCCTCGTGAATGAGACAGAGAAAGGTTTATGCATATTGGCCTATCGTGTGAAACAGACAGGGGAAGGTGAATCCAGAAACAGAACACAACTGTGGCTGCTGGGGAGGCACTGGGTGCAGGTGGGCTCCAGGCCGGCCTTCTCCACGCCCTCTTCAGTGTTAACGCTAACCCTGCAAATGTTCCACAGATAAGACAAACAAAAGTAAACTGGGGCCAGGTGCGGTGGCTCACACCCGTAACCCCAGCACTGCAGGAGGTTGAGGCAGGTGGATCACCTGAGGTCAGCAGTCCAAGACCAGCCTGGCCAACACGATGAAATCCTGTCTCCACTAAAAATACAAAAATTAGCTGGTGGTGGTGGTGAGCGCCTGTAATCCCAGCTACTTGACAGACTGAGGCACGAGAATCACTTGAATCTGGGAGGTGGAGGTTGCAGTGAGTGGAGATCACGCTAATGCACTATGGCCTGGGTGACAGAGAGACACTCCATCTCAACAAATAAAAAAAAGGAAATTGGAAATTGGAAAGGGAAAGAGACCAACAAATGAACCTCTTGTGTTAGTGAAAGGAAATCATTCCGCTCTGTGGGTATATGTTCAGACCACATAGCTCTAATGGGGCACAGTCTAGGAGAAAAAGAAATACAAGTCCAGAAGAGGTGAGTCACAGGGTCAGAAAGCAGACGAGTGGCTGCTGGGGCCGGGAGGAGTGGGAGTGAGAAGTGACTGCCCACGGGTGTGGGGTTTCTTTTTGGGGTGATGAAAACGTTCCTAGATAGTGGTGATGGCTTCACAACCGTGAATATCCTACAAACCACCAAGCAGTACAATTTAAAAGGGTGACTTACACAGGGTGTGGATTATATCGCAATAAAGCTATTAGTTTAAAAAGAAGCTTTAAGTTTTACTCAATAGTTTTACTTTTTTTAAAGAAATTCAGGAACAGTTTCCAGTTAGCAATAATCATACCTCGGATAAACTTCATTGGCCACGATGCCGCCACTGTGCAGAGCTGACCGTCTTACTCTTAACGGTACTAAGTTTTAAAATTTATTGTGAGTGTCTGAAGATAAAGCAGAGCTCTTCGGGGCCACTTGCTCCAAGCCAGTCGCCCCACCCCCCAGGACTCGGGACAGTGTACTCCCGACCCTGTCCTTGGGCCTGGCTGTGCTGAAACAGCCCGGGACTGTGCAGTGACCCCCGTGCCAACATGGGAAAGTCTCTTTCTCATTTGCCTTTGCATTCAAGCAAAGAAGATGCTTATCATGGAGTTGGATCTGAAAACAGGAGGAATGAATGGGTTAACAGTGAAGTCCATAATGAAGACAGAAGCAGCAGAGATCTCTGTTTCCACATGTGGAATTTATAGGAAGAGACGGTGCCACCTGCCCTACTTGTCAGGGAAGAGGAAGAATTCCTAGGGGGCAAGAAACCAATGGTGGCAGTGGTTCCATATAGTGATCAGTAATGAAAGCCAAGAACAAAGTTGCCTGTGATGGCTCCCGTGTCTGCTCCTTTCCGGACTGGCCGTGTTTCTCCTCTGCCCCTGTGATGGCTCCCGTGTCTGTCTGCTCCTTTCCGGACTGGCCGTGTTTCTCCTCTGCCCCTGTGAAGGCTCCCGTGTCTGCTCCTTTCCGGACTGGCCGTGTTTCTCCTCTGCCCCTGTGAAGGCTCCCGTGTCTGCTCCTTTCCGGACTGGCCGTGTTTCTCCTCTGCCCCTGTGAAGGCTCCTGTGTCTGTCTGCTCCTTTCCGGACTGGCTGTGTTTCTCCTCTGCCCTGGCTCTAGCCGTGTGAAATACATTGCTATAAAATCAGCACGTCAGTTACGACGCTCAGAAGCATACAATGTATTTAAATATCACAAAACCCTAAATATAATGAACAATAACTATTATTCTGTCGAAGCTGAAAACATCACTGCCCAAGTGAGATTTTCATGAACGGTTATTAGGTAGGCGTGCTCGGACAACACAACCAATACTGGTCCACCTGACACACAACAAATTGATGACACAGTACCTAGCGCCACGGAGAGGAAATGAGCCGTGTGCATGATTCCTGCCCTCTGACATCCATCCCAGTGCACAGCACATTACTCAGGATGCGAGTTACTTTGACAACAATGTACTCCGAGCACTCTGAACAGATATCCCAGGAGAGGGACCAGTATGTCAACTGTGGAAGCATATTTTGTGTATTAAAAAACAAATAAGGATTAGTATTAAGCCAATGACCAAAAGGTAATATTACTACCATGCAGACTGTTACAGTTCAAACTGTCTCACTTCCCCCGGAATTTTAGAAACTAGAAGTCTGGAGAGGCTGTATCAGCTGCAGTGGGTAATTCCAAGTGCTGACAGTACTATTCATCTTTTTTATTACCGTGTCAGATGAAACAAACGCCAAGCTGCAAAGACGCCGACTTTTATTACACAACGGTTTGAGGCATGAATTATCAACAGCCATGCCTCTCGTGTTCTGTCTCACATTTTCTTTAGAACTAAACAATAAAAGACTTTGGAAAATGATTTGATGTGCTTGCTCCCTTGGTCAGATATTTGAATGATGGTATTACCTAGATTCTAATCCTTGATCCTAATTATACAATAAATAATATAGAATGTGAAAATATGTTTAAGGGCGTACTGTTCGTTTACATTACATAGTGGCCTCCATCATGGCACACTTACTACATTTATGAATTGAGCAGTTCCATAATTGTAATTATTACTGCTGCTCAGTAACAAAACATGCTTATCACAGTAGCAAATAGAAATGCCCCAAAATCCTATTTGTTAATTCAGCTGTAATTATTACTCTTATCATTGTGTATGACACAATGTCTAAAAAATTTTAGCATGAAAAATAAAATTTGTATCACTCATGTAAAACGACAAAGCAATAAGTTGATATGCTTTTATAAGATGTTTATCAAGAGAGAAAAAGAAAGAGCTAAAACTAAAGAGCCCTGTGATATTAAATTTTATTTGGATATATCAAAACGAACCCAAATAAGGCATCTATTTTGTATGTACAGGTTTATCTTCCTCTCCCCAGCTCTGCTCCTGACAGAGCCTAGATGCTGTGTCATTGCGGCAGCACCAACACTGCAGTGCCTAAGTCCTGCCTTCGAAATCCCATTTCCCCTCAAAGGCAGGGATGTTGCTTGGAGAAATGTCAGGTCTGGGTAGGAAAGCGAAAGGCAGGCAGGTATAGAGGGTACTACAGAGCCTGAGGGGCCTGTCCCTGGGGGCTGGAGCCAGTCAGAGAGCCCTCCCTGGCCAAATACACGACGATTTCAACGCCAAAAAGGGAATGCTAAATTGACCATACACTAAATAAATATAAATCCTTGACTCTATATACCAAAAAAAGGAAGATAAAACCACTTTCTTTAAAAGGAATGCCAATAAATAAATGTAAACGAGGGAACAGTTAGACAACCATGACTTTGTAACAACCAATGAAATATGATCAAATGAAGCCTCTAAAACCACAGGGTGGAAGATTAGTAGAGGACAAAATACCACACAGCATGCCACCTCTCAGATGCTTAATATTCATAAGAAGAAAATAAACTCTACGGTAGAGGAACCTGGGGGTCATTCCTTCACCAAATAGTAAAACTCACCATTGTGAATCACAGGACAACCTGACCCTGCAGCCCCCAGGGAATGCACTGTGAGTTCACAGCACCAACTACAAGCTATTCCTGCCAAAAGGCTTTTTACCCAGGTCAAACCGAGCCTTCCCCTGACTTCCAGTGAAAGAAACTACAGGAGACAGAAGAACAAGCTAAATACCACCACAAAGAAATAGACGACTCCAAAATGTGGGCTGTTTAACAAGACAAATGGCCCAATCTCTTCAGAAAGGCCACACCACAGGGAAAACAGAAGTAGAAAGACTGCTGTAGATTAGCTTACAAACCTATAAACAACAATGAAATATATTCAGCCTAAAGGAAGAAAATTTCGACATGGCATATAACACAGGTGAATCTTGAGGACACTATGCTAAGTGAAATAAGCCAGTCACAAAAGGCAAACATGAAAACAGAAAGTAGAAGGGCTGTTGCCAAGGCCTGGGGAAAGAGGAAATGGGAAGCTGTTCAATGAGTCCACAGTTTTGGTTTTACAAAAATTCTAGAGATTTGTTGTGAATATGTTAACACTACTGAACTGTATGGTTAAGATAACTTTTATGTATTTTTTTAAACCACATTAAAAAAAACAAGACACAACATACAAATACAACACATGAACGCTGATCAGCTCCTGGTTTAAAAATAAAACCATAAAACACATTTTGGGGACAACTGGAGAAAATACGCCAGGTGCTGTGGCTCACCCATGTGATCCCAGCACTTTCAGAGGCCAAGGTAGGTGGATCACCTGAGGTCAGGAGTTCAAGACCAGCCTGGCCAACATGGTGAAACCCCATCTCTACTACACAAAACAAAAATCAGCCAGGCCTGGTGGCACACACCTGTAATCCCAGCTACTCGGGAGGCTGAGGCAGGAGAATCACTTGAACACAGGAGGTGGCGGTTGCAGTGAGCTGAGATCATGCCACTGCACTCCAGACTGAGTGACAATGAGACAAACAACAAAAAAAGAAACACAGAATATAGACTAGATAATATGAAGAAATTACTGCTTTTTAGGTGCATGGATTACACAGGAAAGCATCCTTATTTTTAAGAGCTGCTTAAGGAACAGAGAAGTATCATAATGTCTTCAATGTATTTTCTAATGGTTGATAACAAGCATACATATATGGGCGCACATGTGAACACATGCTCACACTAACACGCACATGTACACACACGCTCACCACTTCCATAAAAACGGATAAAGTCCCTGAAGAGTACCAAGCCTGCCGGCCCTGAATATGCCTCTCTGGCATACAGATTATTTTGAGCTAAATGCCATTGAGAACAAGCAGATGCAGGAAATGCTATAAAAACAGGGTGGGAGTTTTCCTTGTGAAGGAAGCTCCCAGTTGTAAAAGGCGTGTCCCTCTGCTGTACCAGGGACTCCTAACAACTCTCAATAGAGACGCTCAATCTGCAAAACTAATTTTACTCAACAACCCTTGTTTATCATTCTTTCCCTGGTCACCCTCCCATAACTTGCCTCCCTTCCTCAAGCCCAAACCTCCTTTCCTTTTGTTTGGCCTAGCATGGTTCATAGGCAGACCTCAGACATGCTGAGGGTTTGGTTCCAGACCAGCACAATACAGCAAATATCACAATAAAGGCACACGTATGTTTTGGTTTCCCAGTGCATATAAAAGTTATGTTTACACTACTATATTGCAGTCTATTGAGTATGTAATAGCATTATTTCTAAAAGAACAATGTGCATACCTTAATGAAAAATTACTTTATTGCTAAAAAAATGCTAACAATCATATGAGCATTCAGTGAGTCATCATCTTTTTGCTGATGGAGGGTTTTCATTCAATACTATGGCTGCTGACTGATCAAGGTAGTGGTTGCTGAAGGCTGAGTTACTGTGGCAACTTCATCAAACAAGACAATAATGAAGTCTGTGCCACCAACTGACTCTTCTTTGCATGAGGATTTCTCTGTAGCATCTGATGTTTGATGGCATTTTACCCACGGCAGAATGTCTTTCTAAACTGGAGCCAATCCCCTCAAACCCTGACACTGCTTTACCAACTACATTTATGCAAGTCTAAATCCTTCGTTGTCATTGCAACACTGTCCCCAGTATCTTCACCAGGAGTAGATTCCATCTCAAACCACTTTCTTCGCTCATCCATAAGAGGCAACTCCTCCTATGTTCAAGTTGTATGAGGTTGCAGTAGTTCAGTCACACCTCCAGGATCCCTTCCAATAGTTCTCATGCTATTCCCGCCACGTATGCAGTGCCTTCCTCCAGTGATGTCCTGATCCCCTCAAAATCAACCATGAGAGTTGGACTTAACTTCTTTCAAACTCTTGTTAATGTAAATATTCTGATCTACTCCCATCAGTCACACATGT